TTCGCGACGAAGAAATCAATGATGTAGCCGATAACCTTTCCTGTCTTCCTTCGCGGTCCCATCGGTCCGTTTCTCTTTCCTCCGCGCGGCTAGGAAACCCTCCGGCTCTCTTTTATCTGATTCATATGCACAGCCATACATGTGCAATCGCGTAGTCAATTCCGAGCACGGACCTCGAGTTCCGGTTCCTATTCAAGTGGTATCCTCTCTCCGCGTTATACCGTCTTTCTCCTATTCGTCTTCCTCGGCGATCGCTCCGAGCGTTCGTCCGTCCGTCCGTCCGTCCAGGATACGCTCGCCGTTCTCCAGCCGATGCCTTCTGCGAGGATACTCCGACGGAAGATTATTCCGTAGGATCGTTTCTTTCGATCATTGACGTCGTGTCCTTAACCTTTCAGCTATAGCGGGACTAATCGCGAAGTTCTGCCTCTGAATGGCATCGTTTTACGTGGTCTGCATATCATAACTGTAATACCACTGCGATTCGAGACTGATAGAATCTTTCATTGTGCGATTACGTTAGATTCGACTGGAATCCGCACGACTATTAACGAGAGAAAGGATTGCGCCGCTATAGTGGCGTACCGGTTAAAACGATGATGTACACGAGAGCCATTATGGAGTTGGTCAACCATTAGCTGAATGGTTAAATAACGCTTAATCATTTTCTGGTCTCGTTGGAACGTGGAATTTTTGTATAGTTGATTTAACCCTTACTCCACGTAGTTTTGTGATGTGTCAGCAACTCTTACCAATTTTGATGGTAGTCCTGAAAATTAACAATGTTTTAACGTTTCTTAGACCTTTAATTCCCTTCTCAGTACAAGCTTTGTACATCTGGAAGTCTTTTTAAAATTCATTAAAATATTCCTTTGGTTCCCAACTGTGACGTTAAAAAGGCAACTAATTCTTATAGTATTCCTAGCGAAAATGGGAAATGCTATAACATTTCTTCGTCTTTTATTTTCCTTAGTAGAACATTTGGATGTCTGGAAGGTCTAATAATCTTAAAGTAGTTTCCTTAAAATTCATTAAAATATTTAATATTAGAACTGGTGCAATATTGGAGCCACAGAGTTCAAAGGGTTAGAAGATAGTTCTAATTGACCACTTCTTTTACGATCAGTTTCAATTCTACAGCGAAGTCTTATCGTAAAATGCGATTGTCATTATTTAATATTGCCATTGGAAAGAAAGTCGCGCGAATTTATCAATCCAGCGATAATTCCCAGTTCTCATTTCCGTCCGCGAATTCCCAAATTGATCGCGGTAATCCAAGGAAAGAGGAACCTCGTAAGAGTCTTCCCGGTTTTCCCCGTTACGTTCCCGAGAAATCCGCCTAAAAATCACGCCCCGAATACGGGAAGAGCAGGCGTTCCCCGCGAACGAGAAGAAATCAACGAAGAATCCGAGCCCGCGGCGGTTATCGACCCCTTCGCGTACACGATTCGCTTTGTCGCTCTCCTCGTCCTTTTTTTTCTCTTTCCTCTCTCCCCCGTCGAACGCTCGGCGTGTACGCGAGCGATCGCGCGGCGAAATCGCGCGCTGTAACGGTACCTAGAGTAAACCGTAAAAACCTCGTGGAAACGTCACGGCATTGACTTTCTTTGTTCCGCCGGTGTGAACTCCTCTTTCCCTCGTCTCGCATCCCCCGTTAGCTAGCGGAGAGGAAGAAGAATAAGCGAGGAGGACTCCGCTAGCGCAATTTGAATCGTTCACGGATCGCGGCTGTCTTCGTTCCTCGAGTATCCGAAAATTTCAACGTTGAAACGGTCGATCGGTTACTTACGTAAGATACTTCGCTGACTCGCTCGACGTTGCCATTTATTTCGACGACGATCGTCTCGGTTGCGACATTTCGTTAACCCTTTTCACTTAGGAAGCGACTCTCGGTCGATGATCTGGTACAGAAAACGAATAAAGTTTAACCCTTTGCACTCGAGAGGTGACTCTCAGTCAGCACTTGATTTGATTTGCAAAATTATGAAGTCTTTTGTATAATATTGAACTTTGGATGATGCATCAGTATATGAAATATCGAAATGAAATAACTTTCGTTCTTAATTTATATATGTTCCTTCATTAATTAGTTTCGAAGAACATCGTCTGTATCTCATCGGAGAATGTTGAATATTTTTAGTGAGAAACTTTCGAGTGCAAAGGGTTAATTCGATATTGAGCTTCGCGCGATGCAAATATGTAAAATATCGAAATGAAATACATTTGTTTAAGCTACTTTGAAAATTATCTGTCTCATCAGAAAATGTTCAATATTTCTAGTAAAAGTTCTCGAGCGTGAAGGGTTGTCTAAAAGATCTAAATACAATATTGAAAGAATGAACCTAAGTTACTATAATGCGTACAAGTTTATATAACCATATCTGTAACATTAATTTCATGTTCTTTATGCAACCTGTTACATCATGGCTCGTATGTACATATGATAGTATGAAACGTATACGATTCGTCTGATTATCGATTAGAGAGTCGAAGCACTAGGTTTGCTTTTTTTCTACAGAATTTCGTGGAATTTCTCTAATTTTCGGTCGCGGGGTCACTCTACTCAATGAACGAACGGCTCGTTTATCGCGGGCTCGGCGAATTTGTTCTAAGCCGAACGCGCGCAATTAGGAACCGAGATATACGTGTCAAACACGGCTCTCGAATGACTCATTAACGCTCGAATCGCGGTTCGAGGCGGCTTGCCGCCTTCCTTTTCTC